TGCGATGCCTAACTTTTCCCACTTGGATATTTTCCTCTTCGCGTTCGCATAACTCCTCCCGCGTTCGCGAAGCCCAGTTTATTTCCTCTTCGCATTCGCATAGACTACCTCGCGTTCGCGTACCTCTGCTATGTCCGCTTTTCGCGTTCGCGGACGCTTTCACGCGTTCGCGTAGAGCAACTTCTGGACCTCGATATTTTCCTTCAACGCGTTCGCATTCATGCTTTCGCGATCGCGAAGCACTATTTTTCTCTTCTCCGCGTTCGCGTTCTAATCATCGCGATTGCGATGTACATTTCTGGGCCTTCTCGAATCTCCTCTATGCGATCGCGATCATTGTTCCGCGATCGCGGTGAACAAATCGTTGGGCAGACAGAATTAAATCCCAAATTCGAGGGTTTCACCATTTTATCACATTTTGACTTCTAGAGCTCGGCTCTTGGCGATTTTTGAAGGGATTTTCACCTGGGCGACTTGGGTAAGTGCTTCTCACTCGATTTTGACCAATTTCCATGAATCTCCTCTTAATTTCATCTTTAATTTCGGATTTTTGAATGAAAAATGGGCAAAACTTCATAGACTAAATTATTGAGTTTTGAGTGGGTGTTTGACCTCCGATTTGGGAGATTTTTGTATGGTTAGACTCGTGAGAGTACGAGGTCTGAAAATATAAAATTCATCCGATTCTGAGACGTTGGCCTGAGGGGAATTTTGGTCATTTTGCCTAATTTCGCGCTTTAGCTTTGAATTAAATAGTAGAATCAGTTGCTTGAGATGTTATTTACAATGTGTGATTTAATTGAATAGATTTGGGCCATTTGGAGTCGAGTACTCGTGGCAAGAACGTGGTTGCTAGTTGATTTTAGCCGGTTCGAGGTAAGTATCTTGCCTAACCTTGTGTGGGGGACTTCCCCTTAGGATTTGAGTCTTCTTTGTTGATTGTATTCCTTGTACGCGAGGTGACGAGTTCGTGCTCGGATTTATTTGTGGAAAATTGCCCCTTTTAGGCTCTTAGATCCTTGTAATCACCGATTATGAAGTTGTTCTTGATACGATTGAGTTCCCTGTTATTAGTTTCACCTCTACATGACTTACTTGGAATTTATCAGCCATTTTTGGTTATTCTTGTTGCCTAATTGACTTTTACTTGTTTAACTGAAGACACTTACCCTTTTATAGTCACATTATCATTCCTAACTGCTTGTCTTTATCTGGAAAGCATTATTTCCATCTCTCGTGTAATTAATTGGTCTTAATTAGAAAGAAGTTAGATATCCTATGTTTAGTTGATATTTCCTTAATTGTAATTATTTGATTCATGTTAACTTCCTTGTTGTTGAACTGAGTATTTTTGGAATCGTTGTTTCGTATTATTTCTCCCTTGTTGAGTTGTTCTTATTGTGCTTAGTATTTCTCTGTTACGGTTATTCCTTATGAGTTAGTTGTACCGTCTTTTGGTGAATGGAAATACCTGAGTTGATTCTCTTGCTTGTTCCTGTATATATTGTCATTGTTGTGTGGTACTTGAGACTATGATGCACGAGGTTTCTGCCGTGCGGTCGTTGATACTATGATGCACGAGGTTTCTGCCGTGCGGTCGTTGATACTATGATGCACGAGGTTTCTGCCGTGCGGCTATTGGTACTGTGATGCACGAGGTCTCTGCCGTGCGGTTGTTGTGGAAGGGTTGCATGAGGTCTTTGCCGTGCTATTGTTGCTATTGATGTTTTTGCACATGCGGCGTAATAAGGCGGGATATGTTATATGCTTATATGTGGGTTGCGCATGTGGCAGAATAAGGTGGGAACATTGTGATGCACGTGTGGCGAAATAAGGCGGCGCCTATTATATTATTATTTGCACGCGTGGCATAATAAGGTGGTCTATGTCAGGGGTTGATTGTAAAGAATTGTGACGGCCTGTGGAGGCATTCCTATTTGTTTAATATTGTGATTGTGGGTTGTTTACCTGTATGAGCTTTACCGCTTGGAAGTTGTGAGGAAACATCGTACGTGCGGCCCGTTCTCCTTCTCATGTGTACTAGTTGGTAGAATTCCTATTAAAAATACTTGCACAAGTATACACGTAGTTGAACACTCCTATTAGAGTTGAATTCCTCCTGATTTTGCTAAGGGTGAGGTACGCCCTCGTTTATCTATTTTTATACGTGAGAGTGGCCCTAGTTAGCCAGTGGGTTGTCAGCATGACCGTGAGATTGATGGGGCACAGGATGCCAAGTGTTAGATTTCAGATGCTGGGTTCTCGTGAGTTGTGGTTTGTCCGAAACTTGGTAAAATTGTTGAAAGGGTTGAATAAGACCTTATGTGAGCATCATTGTAGGATATGAGTTATTGACTTGTTTTCCCCTTGCTGTGTTGTGACCTTAGGATTTGGATTGTTCGTCATTTATTATATTCTCGTTGTTACTTGTTGCCCTTTTTTCCTTATTGTGAATTATAGCATTTTTTGTCATTCATGCAGACTTTACATATTTATATATCGGTTCCATTATTCCTATGATTATACTGTTTATTTGACCGGTAGGTGCCTTGACTGTTCCTCGTCACTACTCCACCGAGGTTAGTCTTGAACTCTTGATACTTACTGGGCACCACCGTGGTGTGCTCATGCTACTCTTCTGCACATTTTTGTTGTGCAGATACAAGTACTCTCGTTCAATTCTGTCAGCCTGGGAAGGAGGCGTTTCTATAGAGACTTCGAGGTATATCTGCTACGTCCGCAGACCGAAGAGTCACTTTCTATCTTCTGTAATGAGTATAGTTCTATCATTATTTTTCCTTTGTATAGATATTCTTGAGTCAGAGCCTCTTATGTATCCCTTAGCTTGTGATTTGTGAGTTTCCGGGTTTTGGGAGTTTTGTTAGCTTCGAGAATTGTTGTGGTATGTGCCGAGCGGCACCTTAAACACCGTTTTATTTCACCAGTTCAGTTTTTTTTTTACTTTCTTCCGCAACTATGGTTTATTTTCCGTATTTTTACTTTCTTCGACATGTTCACGGAGGGCGAACTGGGGTCGTGACAGGTTAAGCTTACAGAAAAATGTAGTGCTATACTTCAAAATAAGCTTCCTCAGAAACTTGGTGATCGGGGAAGTTTTACAATTCCTTGTACCGTGGGAGGCACTCAGTTTGCAAAGGCGTTATGTGATTCAGGTGCTTCAATAAATCTAATGCCTTTTTCAATTTTCAGGAAATTAGAACTTGGTGAAATGAAAGATACTAGTATGTCTCTTCAATTAGCTGATCAAAGTACTAAGAGACCAAAAGGAATTATTGAAAATATCCTTGTCAGAGTTGAAAAATTTGTATTCCCAGTAGATTTTATTGTGCCTGAAATGGAAGAAAATACTGAGGTACCATTAATTTTAGGTAGACCATTTCTCGCAACAGGGAGAGCAATTATTGATGTTCATCAAGGACAACTAATTTTGCGAGTAGATGAGGAGAGAGTAATTTTTGACATGCAGAAAATAATGAAATTTCTTGGGAATGAGTCGTCATCATCCTGTTTTCAAATTGACTTACTAGATGACCTTGTAGATGAATTCAAGGATAATCAATTAATTACTGATTCATTAGAAAGATGCTTGGTCAGGTCAGGTACCACAAGTGATGAAAATGCCACAATCAGAGAAGAAGCGGAATCATTGGAAAAAGAATCAGAAAATGAGAAAGTCTCACAAGAAGAAGTTCAATCAAAAATTGAACTCAAAAATCTTCCTTCTCATTTAAAATATATTTTTCTTGAACCTGAATTATTTCCAGTAATCATTTCATCTTCTTTGACTCCAGAACATGAATACAAACTGATAGAAGTCTTGAGGAAACATAAAAGAGCTTTAGGGTGGACTATAGCTGACATCAAAGGAATCAATCCAGCTATTTGTATGCATTGGATCCTCATGGAAGAAAATTACAAACCGATAGTCCAACCACAAAGGAGACTTAATCCAGTAATGCAAGAAGTTGTCAAGAAAGAAGTAGTGAAACTTCTAGCGGCAGGTATCATTTATTCAATATCTGATAGCCCTTGGGTAAGTCCTGTACAGGTAGTACCAAAGAAAGGAGGTATGACCGCAATAAAAAATGTAAATAATGAACTTATACCTACAAGAACAGTCACAGGATGGAGAGTCTGTATTGATTACAGACGACTCAATGATGCCACAAGGAAAGATCATTTTCCTTTGCCTTTTATTGACCAAATGCTTGAAAGAATTGCAGGGCATAGTTTTTGTTGTTTTCTTGACGGATATTCTGGGTATAATCAGATACCAATTGCTCCCGAAGATCAGGAGAAAACCACATTCACATGCCCCCAAGGTACGTATGCTTACAGAAGAATGCCATTTGGACTATGTAACGCTCCTGCTACATTTCAGCGTTGCATGTCGGCAATTTTCTCAGATATGACTGAAAGGTTTCTTGAAATTTTCATGGATGATTTCACACTTTTTGGTAAGACATTTGAAGATTGTCTCTATCATTTAACTTTGGTGCTTAAAAGATGCGAAGAGACAAATCTAGTTCTTAACTGGGAAAAGTGTCACTTTATGGTAACAGAGGGAATTGTTTTAGGACATAAAATCACTGCTAAAGGAATAGAAGTTGATAAGGCTAAAATTGATCTTATAGTAGGATTACCCCCTCCCACATCCGTTAGAGGTATTAGAAGTTTCTTAGGGCATGTAGGTTTTTACAGAAGGTTTATAAAAGACTTTTCAAAAATTTCAAAACCTCTGACTAACCTACTGATGAAAGATGTGAAGTTTTGAATTTTCAGATGACTGCAAAAAAGCATTTGAGTTTCTCAAAGAACAATTGACTAATGCTCCAATTTTTATCTCTCCTAATTGGAGCCAGCCATTTGAAATAATGTGTGATGCAAGTGATATAGCAGTAGGAGCAATATTGGGATAAAAGAAAAACAAGATCTTTAGACCCATATACTATGCCAGCAGAACCCTCAATGAAGCTCAAATGAATTATGCAACAACTGAGAAAGAGTTATTGGCAGTAGTCTTTGCATTTGACAAATTTCGTTCTTATTTGATAGGAACGAAGGTTACAGTGTTCACCGATCATGCAGCCTTAAAGTATCTATTAGCAAAGAAAGACACTAGACCTAGATTGCTAAGATGGATACTACTTTTGCAAGAATTTGATCTCGAAATAAAAGATAGAAAAGGTTCAGAAAATCAGGTAGCTGATCATTTGTCACGTTTAGAGAATCCTCCTACTGAAATACTAGATATCCAAGAGGAATTTCCTGATGAGCATATCTTTTCAGTCGCGGCGGTTGTAAATAAACCGCCTTGGTTTGCTGATATTGCCAATTATTTAGCCGGGGGGTGGATTCCAAAAGATTTGTCTTACGATCAAAGAAAAAAGCTTAAAAAAGAGGCAAAATATTATTATTGGGAAGATCCTTATTTGTTTAAATTTTGTCAAGATGACATAATCAGGAGATGTGTACCTGAAACAGAAATGAACAACATTTTAAGTCACTGCCATAATGGAGCTGTAGGAGGACACTATGGAGGAAGAAAGACAGCAGCTAAAGTACTTAAAGCTGGATTTTTCTGGCCTACTCTATTCAAAGATCAAGGAATTATGTCGCCACTTGCGATAAATGTCAGAGAATCGGTAAAAATCGTCTATTGCAGCTTGATGAGTTGGAAGAGTTCAGACTTACAGCATACGAAAATGCTAAATTATATAAGGAAAAGACAAAAAAATGGCATGACAAGCTCATCCACCATAAAGATTTTAAAGTTGGAGATCAAGTTCTGCTGTACAATAGCCGATTGAGATTATTTCCAGGAAAGTTTAAGTCACACTGGACAGGACCGTATACTGTAACAGAAATTACCCCCTATGGTGCCATTGAAATACAACGTACAGATGGGGGAGATAAATTTAAAGTAAACGGTCATCGTTCGAAGCCTTATATCAGCAGATTCTTCGACAAACAGGCTTCAACAATCCTTTTTACCTAATTTTTATAATAAGTCGAGCTGGCGACGTTAAACTCAGAACTATTTTCTTCCCCTCTCTTTAATCTTTTAAGTAATTATTAGTAGTAACATATAATATTTCCTTTTTAGTAAATATATATACATATAATTAAATTAGTTTTTCTTCTTATAAAAAAAAGTTAAAAAATAATAATAATTGCATGTTTGTATTATATTATATATATAGATGTGTATGTAGTATGTATTAATATATTTTGCCATGATGAAAAAAATACTCCCATGATTTAGACAATGAAAGGTTTCTCCTATCATGAAAAAGAACATTAACTTTGCTATAATCTTGTCTTTGTTATATGAGAGAAACTTTGAGAAGCCAAGAAAAAGGAAATGAGGCTAGAATCGGAAAAAATCAGGGAAGCTCCTTTATCTCCTTTTACTGTTAATTTATTTTGTCATGAGGATATGACATTATTTAAGCTTGGGGGTAGAGGAATATATTTGTTATATGTTTTTTTTTTGAGTTATACATATAAAAAAAAAATAAAAAAATAAAATGGCAACTTACTTCATGTACTTCCATGGATTTCTTGTTCGGTTCTTTGCCATGGTCGTAATATTTTGAATCGAACATTTTTTTAGGACTTTTAGTTTTTTCACTTATTTTGGTAAATAAGTTGGCTAAACTTGATTTGACTTGAAAAGTATGACACTTAAAAAAGACAAATTTGATTAAGTACACGGGTTTTATGATCACTTTTCTAAGCTCATACTTACTTATTGGTGATTGAAATCATAGTTTTCGTTAGCCCAAGTGTATTGTGTTGTTAGCTTATATTGTCTAGTTCTCCTGCTTATCTGGAAATCTAGAACTTGCCTTGAATGTGGATTGAGGCAAAATTCTAGGTAGATCTTTGAGTTAAGAAATGAACGTAGGCCTTCTTTGTTGAGCCATAACCTAAATTGACCTACCTTAAAGATTTTTATCCCTAGTTAGCCCAGTTGAGCCTAAATAAATTATCTTTTATTTTGTTGATCACCAAGCTTTAACCCTTAGCCTGTTTGTTGTTATGACTTGTTCTTTGTTCACCCAATTCCCTTTTGGGCACTTTAAGAGTTGATCTGAATGTAAAAATCTAGGCGTGAGGTGTAATTGTGAAAATAATTGGTGAAAGAATAATTGTTTGAGGTTGTAAATCTTTTGAGATGTTGCCATGAGAACTGAAAAAGATAGTTGCTTCTGAAATTCTTAAAAAAAAAAAAGAAGGGAGAGGATAGCAACAAAGAAATGTCGGCATCTCCGTAAAAAATGTGAAAGGGATGAAACAAAATAGAGATTATTGTTTAAATCATAGCAAAGACAATTGTGCTTAAGTGATAAAATAAAGTGTAGTGTCCATAGGGAATTTAAGTCACTATTATCCATATGTATCATACCTATCCCTAAACCTACATTACAACCTTGCAAAAGTCCTACATGATCTCGACTCAAAGACTCCTACATTAGTGGAGAACCACATGATAGTCAAGCATATGGCAATTTCCAGTAGCTTGAGGTACTTCTTTGTTGAGAGTGAGTGAATTTTTCCATCTATGCCCTTCTTTGTTCTACATCTATATATTGTGTGTTATATGGGCATCTCTCTTCATTTGGTGAGACACACTAGGGATTAGGAAATATTATGATTTCAGTTCTCAATAGGTGAATATGAGTACAGTTAAAAGTTGTATGAACTTGTGAATTAGTCTTAGTTACTTTTTCTTTGGCGAAAGGTCTCATGATTTTGGTTAAATTGTTTAGCTGATATGTTTAGTTATTTTATTTGCTCGAGGACGAGCAAATAGTCAAGTGTGGGAGAATTTGATAAGTGCATTTCACTTGATTTTTAACATATAATTTCTTTGAAAAATAAAAAAAAAACTATCATATTTCTTCCATACTTTGTCTAAATTATGCAGGAATGGTTAAAGAAGTATTGGTCCGGAAACGAGAAGATTACAGAGGAAAAATTAGAAAAACGGACAAGCTAAAGCAGAGTAAAATATGGTGCTAAAGAAAGACGTGATATGCCATGACAAAGGACAACCGACTCACAACCGGCTACAACAAACTATAACCGACTCACAATCGGCTACAACAAACTATAACCGATCCATAACCAAAGAAGCTCATAACCAAGCATAACAAGGCCACAACCAGCCATAACAAGTTCATATCCAAGAGTGTATTGAAAAGTTTGTCATGGCTTGGCTATAAAAGAGGCATCAATCGTGAAATGGAAAAAGGGGGAGCGAGGAAGAAAGTTGAGAAGTGAAATATTGAGCAGAAAGTTTTTCCTTTCTCTTTGTTCTTTAGTTTTACTTCTGTTTCTTCTTTTAGCCATTACTCTGTCTTCATTTCTTGTTCTGAATAAATTGTAGTATTGGAAATTACTCTAGTTCCTGTTTTTAATTAAATAGGAGGAATTATTCTTGAATATTTCTTTCTATTTTCTTATTTAATGGGCAAGATTATTTCCGTTGTCGGTATTGGCTCCAATATGGAGTAACTTTTCTTGTGTTGGAAAAATGACGGATCTTAATATTTTTATTTAATAGTAGTAGATATTATTCTTCAATTTCACATGCTTGAGCTGAAGCTTTTTATTTAAATTTTATCTGCTTTATAGTTGGGTGTTATTTAATTTGTTAACATCTATCTATTTCGTACTACATATTAACTTCTTACTAATTCTGTAATCGAAAGAGGCAGAAGAAGTAATACTTAGTTTTGGTATTGATAGATGTTAACTTATATTTAGTAACATCTAGCTCATATATGTTAAAATTGATTCTACACTTATTTGTAACCGAAAGAGGCGAATATTGTAGTAATAAGTTATAACGAGTAGGGTAACCGAAAGGGATTTACTAAAAAAAGAGCATACTTTAGTTTAAGTATATATTTCTGGTTCTTTAATATTACTATTTTAACGATTAATTTGTATAACCGAGAGGAGTGCATTTAATTGTTCAACTATAGTAATAATATATAAATGTAATCGTGAGAGGCATTTATACATTTATGAGAAATAGAAGTTGAAGAATAAATGTATTTACTATATAATAAAAAATATTAAGTGAAGTCAGGATCCCAACACCTTTATATTATATCTGTGAAAAATAAAAATATTTTCTATTGCTCCATTCGTGCATTTTTAGTTAGTTAATTTAAAACTCAACTCTTTTTGATTTTCTCAAATAGTAACTAAAACAAGAAACATCTGTAGAATAGATAAATCAATCTCTGTGGGTTCGACATCTTTCTATACTATTATTTGACAGAGTACGAGTTAAAATTTTATATACGCTAGACACTCGTCAAGCCTACATAATAGGCCCAAGTCTCCAGGTCCTCAATGCCAAGTATTGTTTCACAACCTTTCTCATAATCCGGGTGTGTCAGAGTTCCCTAAGGACCTCAAGGGCTCCCGAGCAGTGCTCACACCCAGATTTCATAGCCAAGATAGAGTAAGTGCAGTGTGGAAAGGCCAACTTTTGGTGTGTCAAAGTTCAGAGGGAGCTCAAGGGTCCCAAGGCAATGCACACACAAAAGGGGCAGAACTTAGTGGTCTAAGAGTAGAGTAAGAGTGCTCGACATAGTTTTGAAGAGTTTAAGTAAGAAAATAGTTTTGAAAAAAAGGGTAAGTAAGAAACAGTTTTGAAAAGAGAGACTTAATTGAAATAGTTTTATAACAAAGTTTAACTGATGAAAACAATTTGAAATAGCATGCATACCAATCTCAGAACCAAAACAAAGTCAGCATCACACCAAGGACCAAGAATAGTCCAGCAAACACAAACAAGGGAATGGGATTGGAGGGACAAATATGGAGCATGTGAGGGCAAACATGTAGCAGGCAGGAACATATATGAGCACATAATCAGAAACTCCTATAGGTTCAGAGGATCAGGGGGCGCAGCAAGGTATTGGATTAGATTAACATATCAACACCAAACAACTAGGACCATGATCAAACTAACGTACCAATCATGGGGATTCACATAAGAAACATGTACTAAGTATACAGAAACATGCCGGTCATTGACAAGTAAAGCATAACTTAACATGTAGAGAGAATTCAGGATCCTAATTACATGTTGAACATCAAATATAGTAAATAAAAGCATATTAGAAATACAAGGAATTGTAACAGTAATAGAAACATGTTGGTTTGAGGACTGAAATCTGAATTAGAACATACCAATGAAGTGAAGAAAGCAAAAACACAAAGCAGAAATAGGAGAGGCGCAGTAGTTAGCCTTGGCTTGCAGCTGGCTAACTTAGAATAGTAGCAAGTAGCACAGAAGAGAGAATAGAGAGTTTTAGTTGTGAGAGAGAGAGAGAGAGTTGAACAGATTTTTTTTGTCTCTATGCTAATGAATGAATAGAGTATATATAGTTTTAAAGCGGGCGGAAGAAAAAGGTAAAAATAATAGTTCGGCAGTAATTATAGAAATAAACATTAATTAGAATCAATTTAGTGTACAGACTTCCTTTAATTAAGGAATCACACTCAAACGATAAGAAGCAGTGGCAAAATAAGGAGAGGAATCAAGTAAAGCTGCTTATAACACAATAAGGAAGTAGTACAAGTGTAATATAGGTATAGAGCATGCAATTAAGGTCAAGTTCAGAATCCTATTTAAGGAAAATATATACAAATTAGTTTGACAGCGGAATCAGCCAGAGAAATAAGGCAAGAGATATTTCAAATTCTGGAAATCAATAAGGAGATCCTCGAGTGAGGTTCTAATTACAGGGAATCAATATTTATCAAAGGAAAACATCACACATGAGCGGAGTAACATGCTATAGGCAAGGAAAAACAGGAAATCGGCCTTAATTAAAGGAATATCTCAAGAATCAGTAAAGAATATCATGCAAGATCGATGAAGAACCAATCACAGGGATTCGAAGACCCACAAATAGAGAACAATACCAATTTAGGAGAAATTAGCATAAGCTCATGAGAATAAACAGA